CCTTAGCTGCGCTGTCCCTGGCAACGGCCCTTCTCGAATCCAGAAGAGCCTCAACCAACCATCGACCAGGGACCCTTTCACCTCGAACCAATCGTGAAACAGTCCTTGTAGCCTACACTGGCCTACAGCCCGGAGCCTCAAAGCCTTGAGCCCTCGACTCCACGTGCCATTTGGAGGATGCGTTTATGCCCGGGACGGAGTGCGGGGAGGCTCTGACTTCAGCATTTGGCAATCGCGTAGGGTTCCGGGGTTTAGGGTTGGGGTTCGAGGTTTTGGGGCCTCAGGTTTAGAGTTTGGAGTGTAAGGTTCCAGGTTCAGGTTTTCGGAGGCTGCAGCAATGCGCGGGGTACTATGTTTCTTAGCTTTCGGCGGCCTTTGTGGCATAAAAGCCTTGGCATGCGCCGTAAACACGTTAGTCAAGACCTGGGGAAATGACCATACCAGAAGGGCTCAGGAGAGGGTTCAGGGCTTAGGGTCCAGGTTACTAAGACCGTAATCCACCCCAGACCACCAACCTCTCTAATCATGGACTTATCTCGATCTGTCTTTAAACCCTATACCCTGGAGCCAAGTTGAAGTTGTTCCTGGAAAAGGGCTGTCAAAACAACCCGAAGCCCTAGGCCCCCGTTATTTACTTCTCTTTCGCTATCTCTTGTCTTTCTGTCTATCTATCGAGGTCTACGTGATCGAGGCAGGCTCCATGGGATACATCGCCCGGCAGCTGAACTCGGCCATGGCGGAGGTAGGGCGTCTGGGGTCTCGGGGTTAGGGTGTAGGGTTTCAGGTTTCGGATGGCTCTGGGGAAGATCCGAGGTCGAGAGTTCGGAGTCTAGGGATTGTTGGGTTTCGGGATGTGGGGGTTGAAGCCTTGAGCTCAGGTTTCCCAGCCGAAAGACTTCGACATAGATTATGGGGGGGATGCCTGTTTTGGATCTTATCCAAAAATAGAACCCGAGACGAGGCCTGCGAGAATGGGGACGTGCTGTGCCTGCCGTGCATCTGGGCCGAGTGGTCTACGGCCTCAGATCCCGGGCTTCGGATCCTTCGGGGTCTTTGGGGATGTACTGAGGATGTAGCTGCTATTAACTGCCAGGTTGCTGCAAGAGTTATAAGGGTTACCGTTGAGGGTGAAAATTTACTAGCATCTTATGGGAAACTGCGTTGAGGGCTTGGTTTGGGCCCAGTCTTGAGTATTCCCAGTCTTGACTGGAAGACACCGGCATTCGAGTCTGTAAGGCTGTAAGGTAAAGGCTTGAGCTTGTGACGAGGTGGTCAGGGTTCGGGAGTTGTGCTGTGTTTTATTGTGAGTCTAGAAGAGCTTTGTTGCTGGGATGTGTCAGGCAAAACTTAGGGGGTGGAAGGACCGTTACCATTGAGTCCTGGACCCTAAGCACGATACTCTTCATGGAATAAAGGATCCGGAGCTTGCGCGGGTGGAAGTACATTACTGTACGTTCGCGCCGACGGATACATAGACTCCCCACGGCCCCACGCACAATCATTACATGTATATATACAAATACACATATTTTATAGATTTTTCACTTATCAATCAATTATCTAACTAATTGCAAAATTCATTGACTAGTACAGTATTAATTACTGAACTGATTTGTTTTGTCTGGTTGTTTCTTTTTTTCTTGGTTGATTGACTTGCAGGCGCCATGTGCAAACAAAGCACAAGCACACTCTGCATGCACACTTACATATATATATATATATATATACATGTGCGTGTGTGTGTGTGTGTATGTATGTATGTATGTATGTATGTATGTATGTATGTATGTATGTATGTATGTATGTGTGGATAGATAGATAGTTAGATAGATAGATAGATAGATAGATAGAGAAATAGATATCTCTAGATACATATATACAATGCGCACATGCATACACGAGAGTCTCAGACACAAGTGTGCACCAAAGGCTTCATCGCGGCCGCCTCACGGCCAACACAGGCGAAACCTGCCCCTGGGAGCTTAATGTGGTTCGGATTCAGGGTTTAGGCTTTCGGGTTCAGGGTTGAGGGTCAAACTGGCTTGAAATTCCCTGCAGTCCTTTCTTGAAAGCACGGTAAAGGTATTGCGGTTGCTTTGATCAGGCCCTACGCGCTGGAAAAAATCCACCACCAAGTCCAACCCAAGGCTACTACGCCGGTCTCAGCTGCGAGAAGTTTGCGCACATCGTCAAGCAGCACGGTCCCCCTCTCTGGCAGCGTCTGGGCTTGGATTGCTTGGATGCTTGAGCTAGCGTGCAAGCTCCTTCCGAAGCGGAATCCTAGGTACATGCAGATCTACGGGATCCTGTTCATCGAAGAGATCGAGCACATGGATGCCGAGGTTCTGACCAGCCCATGCATGCATAGGTACTTCAACACTTACATACTTACATACGTGCAGTTATCTTCTTACGTGGAGGCCTGCAAGCATGAGCCTATGCATGCATCTATCCATCCATTGTCCTTCCATGGTTGCATCCGTCCATCCTTCCAGCCATCCTTGAATCCATCCTTCCATCCTTTCATGACCATCCATGACCAAACCCAACCATCTATCCATGGTCTTCCAGCCATGAGCATCCGTCCATGATCATCTATCCATGAACATTCATCCATGACCATCCAGCCAACATCATCCTTCCATGATCATCTATCCATGACTATCCATCCATGCCTCCGTCCCTCCATCCATCCATCTTTCCATCCATCCATCTATCCGTCCATCCATGCATCCGTCCATTCATGCATCCGTCCATCCATGCATCCGTCCATGCATGCACAGACACATATACACGCACACGTCACCGAACAATATACACACACACATCCACATACACATCGGCATGCATGTAAACACAGGAACAGACGAATGGGCAAAGGCGTTCGAAATGCTTATGCGCACACGCGTGCGCAAGGTTGCTCACTTTGCTAGTTTGGACCCTTGAAGCTTTCGCCAAGCCAATCTCTTCACTGAGTGCATGCGTGTATAGGTGCATCAGTACAGATGAAAGCACATTCTGCAGAGACATACAGTGACATACACGTGCACCGTACATCGGCTACAACCCGGAACCCCTGCGGACAGGCCTTCTGACCCCAAATCCAACATCCGAAAACCCTGCACAGCCCGGCTTTCCCGAACCCTCAACCCAGACCCCAAACCGCAAATCCTAAATAGCCTAAACCCCTAGGCCCCTGCACCCTGCACCCTAAACCCTAGGCCCTAGGCCGAACTCCAGGACTTCTTTGTGACCGACCAATGCCTGGCAGACGAGCGTATGGAAGAGATCGCCATGCGAGCCCAGCGCCCCTTGACCAGCGCCCAGGTTTGAGGGATCATGGGTTCCTTAGAAATGTAGACGGGGTTGTCTCGAGATAAAGGGATCTGTACGGATCACAGGGATCTATGGGCATCTACAGGGATTTGTATGTTTGCACGTTTGGCTGTGTTTGAGGGCTTCAGGTGTACAGACTGGGGTTGTGAGGGAATTCGGTTTGGAAATTCGGGAGCAGGGTGTGGGGTAGGCCAAATAGGCACCAAGGTTTCGGGCCTGTCGTGCTCCCTGCCGCACCATAGAGGGATGCCGAAGAAGATCCCAGCCCACGAACCGGACCTCCAAGCCTTCATTACTGCGACAATCCCTCCATCATGAACCCTAGGCCCTAAACCGTAAATCATAAATGCTAAACAAAAGCCCTGAACCCTAGATCCTAGACCCTAAAAGCCCTAAGCCCCAACTACAAAAGCCCTAAACCCTAGACCCGAACAGCCGTAAACCCCAAGCTCTGAACCCAGGTTTCGCCAACATGGTCAATGCTGCTTGCCTGATTTCTCACACCCAGACCCCCGAAAAGGTCTAGAAAGTAGATCCCTTAACAGGTTCCTTAAAGTAACCCTGAGTAGTAATGAGTAGTATACGGTCTCAAATTAGGGGATCCACTTTTCAGATCCTTCCCGAATTCTGGGCAAAGCAAGGCGAGCGTTGGAACATCCGCAATCGCGTATCCTAGCAGGAACTTCGGAGCAATGGGGAAAACTCTGTGGTCTCGAGTACATGAGGTCCACAGCTCCTACAGGACCCTCAGCTGTCAGACCTAAACCCTGGACCCCAGACCTGCTTCCCAAATCATAAACCCCCAAACCTAAACCCTAGGCTCCTAAGCCCCAAGCCTCGACCCCAAACTCTAAAGCTCAAGGACCCGATATGTAAAAGTCTTTCCCGACGGCTGGTTTTTCAAGTCGGTGCCTCGTAGCGCTTCGGGGTTTCGGTGCTGGGGAATCTGATGCCCATATCACCGCAGGATTTCAACTACTGAAGACTAGGGAGGTTTAGGGTTTAGGGCCGGAGCCCAGATTTATCGGAGATTGTTCAATAGGGGGATCTATGTCGCAATCCGCGGCAGTTACATCAAGCCAAGGAAAGGAGTGCAGATCTCCGTAACAGGAGGTCTCCTTGCCCAATCACATCTCCAATGTACCAAGAGGGCATTGGTCTTTCTGGGTCCAACAAAGGCACAGCAAAGCTGAGGCGAAGAGTGGCACTTCGTTCATGGCGACCTTGGCGGCCATGGCGTTTCTTGGCTGCCGGTTTACCGTAGGGGTTGATTGTTTGGGGTTCGACACCCCTGAGGGCAGGATTCCTTACAGCCGTTCTGAAGGTTTGTATAGGGTATGTAGATGTCTTGTTGGCCTGGCTTTCGCACGGTTGCGGGGCTTAGGATTTCCAGCCACAGCTTTAGGGCCTATGTGGAGTTCAAGGTGCTGACGAAGCCGTAGTTTGGGCCTCAACCCCTAAACCTCTAAACCCCCAAAACCTAAGCCCTATGAATACAACAAACGCCAAACACGTAAGCCCTCAACCCTAAACCCCTGCCAAGTCTGTCGGTAATTTGAACTCTTGACCGGATGTGGTCGGATTCGAATAAGGGTTACCTAAAATGCAGGGTGCCTGTTCGAGGAGTGATTGTCAGAAGAACCTCCTGATTTTAGGACTTTTCTTGGGTACTTCTGAGGGGCCCCTGTAATTAGGCTCGTACTGTACTCTTTAAGATGCGTTGTTGGATTCACTCAGCTTCTGAAACCCCCTTTAGGCAGCAGGCAGGTGGAGGTTTACACCAGAGGGCTTGGACGAGTTTGTTCATGCGGCTGCCAGCAATACAATCCCGACTCCATGCCACCCTGAGGCCCCTGAAACCTTTAATTCCCCATGTCCCTGGAGCCCGGTTGGCCAACGCTTTCGGGATGCGCACAACCCCAGAGACTGAAACCTGGGCATCTCTTTGGTGTAGGGTTCGCAGACTCGGAGCGCGCCCACCTAGACTTGTGAACCCCCTAAAGGTCAGAAGGCCACAAATCTTGGAGAGCCAGGAATCAAGCTCACCAATGGCCTCAGTCGCCTCAAGCGCCTCATTCGCCCCACTCGCACCAGTTACACTTGCGTCTTTGCTGACTTAACCCCGCAGGCTAAAACCTAAACCCTAAACACTTCACCATCGCAGCGCCAAAGCCTTAATCTTAAACCCTAAACACGAAACCAAACCCTCGAAAATTCAAATTACACCCTAAAACTCTAAGAGACTTAACCCTAAGCTCTCTGAAAGCCAGGGCCAGGGGGCAGGGTCCTGCTTTCAGCTCTGTGTTACTGTCATTGCTTCGTCGTTCTATGTTGAGAGATGCACGTAACTAGTCTTGCAATGAGGATGATCGCCATGATGATCAGGAGGATGGTGATGATGACAATCATAGCCCATAGTAGCAAGATTTTGATGATGGTGATGATCTTGTAGTCGTCGTGCACAGCTCTTCAGCATCTAATCCGACTCTGCGACGTTTTTGGGATGTTAGGGCTCGGCTTTGGGAGAGAAGGGTTCGGTGGGGATCGGCTTTAGCATCAGAGAGGGCTGTCAGAGTCCCTAGGTTCTGTAGGCTTAGCTCTTGACTTTGCTTGTGCAGGGTTTAGGGTTTAGGAGGGTTTAGAGGCAGAAAGTTTCCCCTTCAGTTGTTTGGGGCAAGCATCCCGCGGACTCCTATTCACTGGCTTTGAGGTTTTGTGAACATCTTCGCGGGTGTTGTTTTGTTTGTTTTTGTTTTGCGGGCCTGTTGTCAGAAGTTGGTTCCAGTCTGCAAACGGTTGTCACGCATGCGGCACGAAAGCCTTGGATGCTGTGATCCCCGCAAACCTCGAGCCCTAGACGCCAGCCTCGAAGCCTCTGGAAGTCAGGAAGCCCTTCAGCCCCGAAGCCCCCGAACCATCTAATATACGGCCCTAAATATTAGCCAAATTTTTTGGTGGATCCTTAGTATAATTAATATTAAGTATAGCATAATTCCCAAGACCCTATTCTACTTATTAAGGCCACTATATGAATTTACTCTGAACCCTACCCGGAAAATCTCAAATCCTCAAGTCTCGCACTAAGCAAAGCCCTCAAACCCCAAAAGGAGGAAGAGAAACCGTCGCGTCGCTCGACCCGAGGCATTCGCCGAGCAAGAGCATCCTGGACATCGGCTCCCGGACGAAGCTGTGAAGAGCCGTGGAGGAGATCGAAGTAGCGGGAGCGTGCTATGCCTGGCAGAATGGACCCGGAAGAAGAGGCCCATAATCCCATCTCGCGGCGGCGTGCCGTGATCTGCAGGGCTCTTCTGGATTGAAGGTGCCTGCCGAAATTGGAGTCTACAGAGAACTTAGACCCTAAACCCTAAACCGTGAAAGGGGGACCTCACGCCACAACAGCCTTCATCCAAGAATCGAGCGCTTGGCCCCTGTGGCTTGCCGGAGATCGGAGATCCCGAAGACGAAACTTCGAGCCGTCACACTTTCGGAGGTTCATCTCTAATCAGCTAAGTCACTTCACAGGCTCCTTCCTGCCCACAACGGTTTCAAACAGAGCAGCAAACATCCCAGCTGTATCGTAAACCTAGGCGTATAGCAAACTCTTAAGCCGCCCAAGCCCAAAGCCCGAAGCAGTTGTGGATGCCGCATGAGGAGCAAGTGTTAAACGCTCAAACCCTCAAACACGAGCTCTCCGGTAAAGACAGTCTCAACGCCTAAGCTGGGGTTTAGCATTTAGGGTTGGTGTTCGGGTTAATTCTCAAACCTCACCACCTAAAGCTCCAAATGCGCACAAGTCTTTCATTGCTTGTCGCTGCGGGGAGCGATCTTTTGTACTTCGGGTGGGGGTTGGTGTTGCCATCCCAATTCTGTTAGGCTGGTTTTTCTTGCTCCTCGTTTTGGGTTGAAGGTTATGGTTTGGGGGTTCACGGTTGAGGGTTGAGGGACTGTGGATTTAGTCACACCGGGCCTTCTTACATAACTTGGCGCCTTTCTGTAAAATTGGCTCGGACCCCTCAGCATAGGAATGTTGCCTTGATCCATGAATCTGCTACTGCCTGTTGTCTCTTGGCGAGAGTAATGGCTACGGTTGAGGGTTTAGGGTTTGGGGTTTAGGTTTAGGCTTTAGGGTTTAGGGGTTCAGGGTTTGAGGTTCAGGTTTCGGACGAAGTTTGTCGCTAGCCCAGCGCGCAACTGGTGGCGCGGTTTTCCCCCGGTCCTTGTGTTTTAATTCGCTCGCAAACGCGAGGGGATGTGCAGACTGCGAGGAAGGGAACCTTGCCAGTCGAAATCTGTGTACAGAAAGAAACCCTGCACCCGAAACCCTAAACCCCGAAAACCCCTACTCCCTATGTGGCATAGACTGGGTTTTCATAGAGAAAGAAGGACAAAACCTCAAAAAGACCCTAAAAGTCCAACGTACTTAATCCCTATACCCCAAAGCCCGAAACCCTAAACCCATAAACCCTGAAGCCCAAAACCCCTAAACGCCCTAAGCCCTAAACCCGAAGACTTAACGGTGTCCCGAAATATTGCACCCAAGCACCCAGGATTGTCTCGGGCTCGCTCTTCTTCTCAATGACGGTTGAGGGTTCGGGGTTCCAGGGTTGAGGGTAACATAAATATAGATGCCTGAATATTTATCAATAGCATTCGTAAGTTAATATAGCTATACTATAAAAGGAGCACCTAAACCCGATTCTAATCTATTCTTATATATATATATATATATATATATAAATGAATATTGAACTCTCTTCCAAAGCCTCAGAGATGACCACTATGGGGATCGAAGAACGCCTCGCAGAAGCACGAGCCAGCTTTCTTTCTTGCGGTCGACGGTTCTCGGTCAGGAGGGCTTGGGGTCTTAGCCCGCACTAGCATCTGCCGGGATGTGTCCGCCCACTTCGCAGACCCTAGATTACATCCTACACCAGTACTTGAAGCGAGGCACAGAGTGGCGCTCAAACAAAAGGACGAAGCACCGCCCCAACAAAAGGGCTCCTGACCCACAGCCGGCGTCTGTGTGCTGGTGCTGGAGGTTTGCGGGTTTGCCGCTAGCCCGGGCCAGGGCCAGCAGTCCATCTAGATGATTAGAGTCCGGACGGGCGCTCGCGACGAGAAGCTCAGTCAAGGTCCTTGACAGGCTTTCCCTTGAACGAAAGGTTTTGGAGTGTGTGCATCTGTTTGGGAAAGGCCCAGAGCGAAGCATGCTCTGTTAAGAGGCATTTGGGAACACGGGGATTCCAGCTACAAGCAGTCGAAGCCTTTGACCGCACTCATATCATAGTTCCTCAGCTGCTACCTCAACCACCCAAAACTCCAAATCCTGAAGAAGCTTCCAGACGCATTATGGAAAGCTTGTAGTGACCCCCTTAAAACGAGCTTATGGTATGCGGATAAATTTGGTTCACCCGTATATAGTCTTTCGGCCAGATGCCCGAAAACCCGAACTTAAGACCAACAAGGCCTGCACGCTGATCTTGGCTGAATCGGCTCCCAGATTAAAACGTTGTGTGATTCAGTGTTCGACCATGGCCCAGTCACACAAACCCTGCTGCTGTGATGTCGAGGTGATATGACCTAGGCCTGGGTTTAGGGTAAGTAGCTGGATCGGAGCTGGTTCAGGGTTTACGGTGTTACGTCTCTTCCCACACGTCACCGCCATGGGCCACTGTCTTACGGGCGCCGCTTTCTTAGGCGCCTCGGCACCAAGCCCAAGCCCCGAAGCCGAAGCCTGGAACCCCGTACTCTATGGGGGCCTAAGTAATTACCACTGTTACTACTATGGGGTTCCTTAAAGTTCCTTATGATTATCGTATAATATACCCCATGGGGTTCGGTATTATGATTGTAGTATAATATACCCCAAAACCCTATTCTAATTAGTGAGGCCCCCACATTAATCTCCCAGAGCACTCAGCTCGAAAGAGACCCAAAGGCCGGGAGACGTAAAGTCTCCAACTCTTAGACCCCAAGCTGCAAAGCCTAAACGCCCTACGCCCTAAACCCCACAACCAGAATCCCAAACCCCAAACTTCGAGAAACAGGGGCCCTGAAGAATCGGAGCCGGGTGTTGTGGTATGAATCTGCGGATTACAAGCCGGGCTGAGGGAACACGACCCCCCATTTCCTGAATCCGACATACCAATCATTCGAACCTCGCCAGTAAGTGATCAACTAAGGCTGCGGTGCCGGTGTGGGCGGTCTGGCCCCGCACCCAAGCAAGCTTCGGCTGTGCCGGGGTTTGGGGGTCAGGGTTTAGGGCTTGAATGGCTCGTTTTCAGAATTTCAATCCTGCTGAACTCCAGGTGGGGGGCACAACTATAGCGACAGTACTGCAACGGTCTGAAGAGAGTAATGCTACTCCTCATAGGTCCCCCCCATTAGCACTACACTCACTACACTGGACGTTTCCTCGAAGCCTTTAGCCGAATACATCATCCGCTTATCCGGCTCATGGAATCTTGAGGGAGCCTAAACCCCTGGCCACAAGACAACGCAAGGGCTTAGGGCCCTTAAGGGTTTAGGGTTTGGGGCTCTTAGCGGTCCAGCTTTAAGAGGCGAGGCCGCCAGTGAGCTTTCGATCTCGGGCCTCGCACCTCGCAAGGGGTCATCCCGAAAACCGAACCCTCTTTGTCTCCTGGTTACCTTCACAGTGGTTGTCTATGTATGTAAACCCTAAAGTCCCGAAAGCATACAACCCGTAGTATAAAGGCTTTGTCTAATGGTTGAGGCCCCTCCTTGAAAAAAAACCTGTGCAACAAAAACTAAGACCCACTCCATTTCCAAAGGCCCTTATCCGTAAACCCTGGCTTGTTAACCCTAAACCCCCATACAGCCCCAAACCGTTCCCAAGACATGATAACTCCAGGCCCCAAACCTTTTTCGTTGGACACAACCCAAAACCCCATGAGCCCGAACCCTAAACTCTGCAACACTAAACCCCCTAAGCCCGAACCCCAAACCCCAAGCCTCCACCCCCTCCAAACAAAGACGTCGCCTCTCATGTAGCTGCTCCGAGGCCTTCAAGGCGATAAAAGACCGCTCCAAAGTGGCCTCATCCTCGGCTTTCGGCCATTTTTTGCGCTGGTTCTTACTGGGGTTTTGTGGATTTGAGTTTAGGGCTTCAGGGTCTGGCGGCTACTAGAAAAAAGCTGAAGGGACTATCCTAGGGATCCATGCCCCTATTCCCTACCTATGGCCCGCGGAGTTTTTTTGATCTAAGATTCGCTAGAGCTCTAGGAGCCCTGTTTTTCAGGCCCTGAAATCCGAGACCCTGAGCCCTTAGCCCTGAAGCCCTCAAGCCCCAAAACCCAAAATTGTGATCATATTCCCCTATAGTCCCTTTATATAGTTTAGTATAATTTATTGATAACCACCTTGAGTTTTTTTTGGGGGATTTGCTTGGCTGCCACGGCGAGAAGAGACGCCGCTTTAACCGATGGGCCTCGGAGGCTCGGTTCCGAGAGAGCCAAGTCACTCCTTGAGAGTTAAGGGTTGAGGAACTTCATTTGGGAGTTTCCGAAAATAAGGGGTACCTTATTTTGGGGTCCTTATAATAAGGATCCTACTATTTAGGGTACTATGTTAGGGATATATGGTAAATCGTAGGGTTTCCCTTCTGATAGTAACTTACTTCAAGTTCTTCACCAGCAACCCAGTTGTTGAGGGCTCAGGGTTCAAGTGGTTAGGGTTTCGCAGTTTAGCCTTGGGGGTTTAAGGTTTCAGGGTTTAGGGTCCTCCACGTTGAATTCTGAAAACGTAAGCCCCAAGCTCTATGAAATTTCTAAAACCCCACAGCCCTAGAGCAAAAAATATACGGGTAGCCGAAATTCCCGAAACCCCACGCCCCGAACCCCAAGAATCTAAGACTCTCAAGCCGAGGTCGCAGACCAAAGCGATTCTCCCGAGGTAGCCGAGCCTAGACCGGAGCCAAAGCCGGGGCCTCTGTGACTGGCAGACATGCGAATTCTCAGTGAGGCCGAATAGGGTTTAGGGTTTAGGGTTTAGGGTTTTGACAGGGCTTTGCAAAGGAATTTAAATTTAGGGTTTTCGGAATTTAGGGAAGAGGGGCTTAGGGCTTAGAGGGGCCAGAAGCTTCTAGCTTAAGAGGTTAGGGGAAGGAGGCCGTGGGTCTTAGGGGGAGGCGTTCAGGGTCTAAGGGCATTTTTTCAAGCTTGAGTAGAGGGGTTT